CCTCCCTCCCTCCCTCTTTCCCTCCCTCCCTCCTTTGGCATTCATTCAGTATTTCTTTCTTTCACGCATAACTCATTCACTTATCTATCTAGACATTCATTTATTCGTTCATGTTATGATGCCGTAATCTATTTCGTCTAAGTTATTTCAAACAAAAGCATTGAATATTAACATGGTTCCATTCTCTTTGGAATCCAGGCCTTGCAGGTGCTTTCGTCAAGAAACTTCAAAAGCTTCAAGATGCCAAAGAGAAAAGCAACCTCATGCTACCAAAAGGTTTTCCACTACCTATCAAAATCGCCATCACTTCAGCCAAACTCCCCCCACCCAACACCATAATCCAGATCATGGCAACCGATATACAGTCTCCTGCCTCGTTCTCTGTACAACTCGTCGACAAAGAAACAAATCAGAGTTTATCAGAACTATGTGCAGAGATGAATAAGTACTACACTGATTCAACTCCTCACCCGGACTGGAAGCCACGGGAGTCAGAAATGTGTGCAGTTTTCTGCAGAGGCTCATGGTTCCGGGCGTATATAGAAAGTGTTGACCAAGATAATGCTGCTAAAATTTACTGTGTTGACTTTGGGAATAGTGAAGTGGTTAGTCCATCTGTGCTCAGACCTTTGGCTCCCACGTTTCAAAGTCTAGCCTACTGTGCTCTAAGATGTTCTTTGGGGAACATAGTACCAGTCGAAGGTGACGAATGGCCGAAGCAGGTGACTGAATTTATGAAATTAAAGATCCCAATATCTTCAACTTTGAGTGCGCGTCTTATATACAAAGGGCAATCTATCCTGTTTCTTGACGTTTTTGTATCAAGTGGCAAGAGTACAGAGAGTATATTGAAACTCCTCGTCACTAAAGGACTGGCAAAGTTTAAGAGCAAGAACGAAGTTAAGTCTCCAAGTGCGACTACTGGAATGGCAAGGAACAGGTATGTGTAAACTTGTGTAAGTTAGTCATCCAGTTGAATATAATAATTAAAGAGAACGAGTCAATAACTGGAATTTAGAAACAGAGGCTGGCGACGTTTTGAACAGAACCATTAGTCTTCTTTAGGCGAGCATACTGTACCTGTGACAAGTACAGTATGTGTCAATTCTTTTGAGCCGTAAAATTAATAGTCCTAAATTTTCTTATTTTGTGAATGCCACTTTAAGACCATTAGTACAGGTTAAGGCCCCGGGGGTTAAGCCTTGTTTACTATGCTACACATTAAATTATGCTCCTTACCGTTAACTAGGTATAGGTACTTCACTTTGATGTTTGGATATCGTTAATCGATGTACAAACTCCGTTTATCAAAACATTAAATCCCACGACTTTTTATTTGGTAGCTAACTTACAAGTAAGGCTAAGCCTGTGTAAACGAGTTTGTGGTCATCAAAATCAACGGTGTGCATCGACTGAGGGAAAAGATTATCATTCATATATCATTCATTTTTTATGCAAACTCCGTATTACTGCTTTTAGTCTCGTCTCCATAGCAGTAGACCATTTTAGAATTCGTACAATACTGCTGTGTTCCTTGATTACAGAGTCATTTACTCAGGGGTAGCCTTATTTCAACCTCAGACTATTCACAAATACCAACGGTTAAGTAAAGAATGGGCATTTATCACGCAGCAGCCATGTTGACTGGAACAATAGATTTCCCCCATGTGGCCTTGCATTCAAGCGTTTCAGGGTTTGCTTAAGCATGGTTAAACAAATGTTTTTATTATCATTGGAGTAAAAATGGTGCCGTGAGATAAAGGTCCTTACACAACTTCAACAGTTGCTGGGTTTCACTTAACGTCATTTCCTGTTCCTTTTTGGAATGTTCATCGGCTGAATTACAAGTTTTTAATAGAATTCTTCCTGGCTAAAAGCACATGGTAGTCAGTGTTTGACCATCATTTTGTAACAGATGTTGAGATTTAAAGACTTTTATCAGCTGATCGAAACCCAGCAATACAAACACTTTGAAATTCCACGGACCTTCACTGGATGCAACCGTTGTTCACAGAGATATGATGCAACATGAGAATCAACAGCAGTACCGGGGCCAAACAAACAAACAATAATCAAGAAAAAAAAAAAAATTATTTCTTTTTTTTTTTTGCTTTACTTTTAGATTCGAAGACAAATTCGATGTATACAAATCAGGAAATACACCGTACTCGCTTTCAGTCCATGGTTGTGCAATTGCTGCTGCAAAGTTGCCGGATGTAAGAGAGACATTCGAAGGCATAGTGACTGAGCTGAAGACCACGGGGGAATTTTATGTCCAAATCGCTGATGAAGCTTTAGCTGTGCAGTTAATGGAGTTGACAAATGCTATGAGCAGCTATTATAGTAAAGCAACTCCAACCAAATTCGAGGCAAAGCAAAACTTGTTGTGTGCTGCTAAGTTTTCTACCGACTGGAGGCGTGCGTACATTCTGGAAGTCAACTCTAATAAAACTGCGACTGTTTATGATGTGGACTTTGGAAAAACAGAAATTTTGCCCATCTCTCAATTACAGTTTCTTCAGTCTCAGTTCACTACCCTTCAGTACTTTGCATTAATTTGTAAGGTGTCTCTTCCACGAGGCGTTAATTGGACAAAGGAAGCCCACGACCTGTTTCTTTCCAAAGTGAAATTCCTAGTCCCAATTACTATGAGGCTACATTCAAAACGAAAGGAGATACTGTTTGTAGATTGCTTGATCCCCGAGAGCAGCCAAACCTTGAGTCAGATGATTTTGTCTCAAAATCAAGAAAGAAAGCCAGCTGTGGAAGGATGGAATAGAGGACCCAAACCTAGATACCCAAGCTCGCCCAAGATGAAAGAAGCAGAAAATACGAAAAGCGTTCCATCAGGTCAGGTGACCCGTAGCACACCCAGCGTAAAAAACTTGAACTTCGAGAAAGCTTTAGCTGCAGCCACTCTCCCTCCAGTAGGGGAAACCTTCAATGCTGTTATAACAGAGTTTCGAAATCCTCAGTCTTTCTTTATTCATAGCGACATTGAGATGGCCACCAAGCTCACGAATTTAGCTGCTGATATGAACAACCATTACAACACAGTGCCTAAGGCTCCCTTCCAGGCAGATGTAAACCTACTCTGTGTGGCCCCTTTTGCCTCGCCAAATGATTGGTATCGAGCACTGGTTGAAAAGATCGATGCTAACCAGATTGCAACTGTCTTTTTTATGGATTATGGAAACACTGATGAGATTCCCGTAACTGATCTCCGCCCACTTGAAGATCGCTTTTCTGAGTTGCCTTATTGTGCCTTGAATACCTCACTGGCAAATGTGAAGCCGATGGACCTTTCAGGATGGACAAGCAGTGCAAACGATTTTGTAAAGTCCAAACTTCCTGTTGGTGTAGGGTTGTCGCTCAAATTGATCTCAAAACGACAACATATTCTCTATGTTGATTTGGTGGATCCCACTTTCAGCGAAGGGAGTCTATGTAGTGATTTAGTAAAGAATGGCCTTGCATTGAGTTCTTCAGGAAACCGGGAAAGGTCTCCATCCAGTTCAAGGAGCTCATCAGTGTCATCCCAGAAACTCTTGCCATCAGCACGAACATCTGCTATTGCTTCTGCAAGCCTGCCACCCTTTAAAGAAGCATTCCAAGTTATTGCAACTCATATAACGTCTCCTTGGTCCTTTGCAGTGCAAATTGCAGACTTTGAAATGGCTTGCAAGGTTGCTGCACTTGGTAATGAGATGACTGCCCATTATCAGTCTACACAGTATCCTCCATTTTCACCTGCAACCAGTCAGCTCTGTGCGGCACATTTCACTGGCAATGATGAATGGTACAGGGGCTGGATCGAAAGCATCGTATCTCATGATAAGGTCCACGTCTATTATACTGATTATGGTAATTCAGAGGTTCTTGGTGTCTCGCGACTGCGGCCTCTTGAGAAGCAATTCACTGAGCTGCCTTTCTCAGCTCTGCCTTGCTCTATCGCTCATGTTGTTCCACAGGATCAAGGAGAATGGAAGCAAGAGGCAATCGATTTGTTTACCTCATCAGTTCCCCTCTACCAGCCAATCAACGTGAAGCTTGTTTACGAGAAGAGAGATTGCCTCTTTCTTGATATCATAGATCCTAATGAGAGTTCAGCAACCTTGAGTAAAACTCTTGTTGAAAGAGGTCTTGCAGCTTGGATGCAGCCATCGAAGAGGCAGACTAATGAAGCTACCGACGACAACCATGCAAAGCCCAACTATAACGAAAGTAAAAAAGATAGGATTCTTTCCCATGACAGGTCATCCGACTCTGAAATGACGCCTCCGTTGTTAGGGGCTCATGGTGTGAGGAGTCCAAGCAATCCAATTCAAGAAATCCCAGTAAAGATCACAAACAATCCTGCCCCTGCAAGCAAATACTTCCTTCCGTCCATCCCAATGGTTATTGTTCCAACAGACGAGTTCTTCAATGCAATGGTCTGTGACATCAAAAAGACAGGGGCTGTTTCTTTGCAGGTGCTGACGAAAGAGTTGAAGGATCTTGATGCTCTCTGTCTGAAGATAGGCAATCATTGTTCCCAGGATGATCATTTCCCGTACTTTCCAGTTGAAGGGGAATTGTGTCTTGCCTGCTTTAGTCAAGACAAGAACTGGTACCGAGCCGTCGTCAGTGGCGTCCTACCAAACAATCTGTACGAAGTTACATTTATTGACTTTGGAAATGACGACACGGTTTCTCCTAGTGACATAAGGAAAGTAAAGGCGGAATTTCTTGGTCTTCCTAGACAGGCTTATACTGGATTTCTAGCAGGTTTTTCAAGATCTGACATGGGAGTGTTGCTTGAAGATGATGTCGTGAAAGCCCTTAGCGACAGGCTTCTAGATAAACGTGTTTTTGCTCGTGTCTGTGGGTCTACTAGTGAAGTTGAGTTTTTCGATGTTGGCAATGATGAAAAACCGGCTGCGAGTGTCAACAAAGAAGTCCTTCCAAGAAACGCTGTAAACACCACCCAAAACAAACAAAGTAGTTTAATACCTGTTGAAAAAGAATTCACGGCTTTGGTCTCCGAAGTAATTGGTACAGGCGAAATTTGGCTGCAACAAAAAGATGGGATTGAATCTTTGAACATTCTAAAGGCAGATCTAGATTCTTATTGTGAAAGCAGCAGTTCCGTTCCCTTGGCAGTTTTACCTCGGCATGGAGATATTTGCCTGTGTAAATTCAGCATAGACAGAAGTTGGTACCGCGCCAAAGTCGTGGAAGGTATTTCCCCCGATAACATCCTGGTTCTGTTCTTAGACTACGGCAACACTGAAGCAGTTACTCTCAACAGTCTTCGAGAACCAAAACCAGAGTTTATGCAGTTCCCCTTTCAAGGAATCAAGTGCTACTTGTTTGGGATCACTCAAGGAAATCCTGATGCAGATGATTACGTCCAACAAATTCTAAACAGGGAGTTGATGGTGAAGGTTCGTGAGAGAGGTGCAGAAGCTCTAGGCGTTGAGCTTGAAGATTATGGAGTTCCAAATGGGCCCTTCAATATCAATGAGATTCTGATTGGTTTTGGACACTCAGCATGAGAAAATGTAGGAGATGACTCGACTTGTAAGACTATAAATACCGTTTTGAACTTGATAACGAATTTGACATTTGGCCAAATTTTCCTTAGTTCTTAAAAGATTCTAAACACGCTTGATAATCTTTTCGGCTTCTCTTGGGCGTCAAGAAACTCAGGCAAAAAACTTGATAAGAAACATTCCCTGATTGCAATTCTAAAATTTCGATTGAATGCTGTGTAATACCATTGGACAAACATCAAATTCGCCCACATGGAATGTTGGGACATAAGAGAAGTGAGTAACATGTTGATATATTGGGAACATATATTAACCACGGGAAGCCTACTTTAAATAAAGGTAACACTGACATTTTTTAATCACAAAGGGAATAGGAAACTCGGAACATTTGAGGTGCACGATAATATACCACATTTATGTTAAAATGCTGGTAATGACTAGCGGTTACTAGTTTGGACTTTGTTGGTGTGTAGAGTACAACAAGTGAATTAAAAGGAAACTTAAACAGTTAAGAATTTTGTAGCTATGCGAAGTTTTGACGAAGACCTATGACCAAAACGTCAGTATTGTTTTGCTTTGAGTCGCATGCATTCAAAAACATTTCCTTTTTTTTTTCTTTCATCTTTTGCTTTTATCTAAAGTGGGCTTCCTGAGATTAGGGCGGGCAGGAAAAACAAATAGAAATCAGTTTTTTGTGTCTGCCATCTTATTGACGATAAATTGCGTCATCAGATTGTAAAAGTAGTGTGAAATCACAAGGCGTAGCCGAGATCCGCATACTAGTTTGACAATGTGATGACGCAATTTATCGTCAATAAGAGGACAGACACATAAAAAACTGATGTCTATTTGTTTTTTACAATAACAAAAACGGTAAAAACTTCTCATCTTGACATCTTGTCGTTGACGTCAGCTGTATTTGTTTGTTCTCGTATTTATGATAAAAAATAACCAATCGGCGAGCGAGAAATTTGTAAGTTATTGTAAAACAGGATCTTTCTCGTCTGTTCTGGAAAACTGGAATGTAGAGGCCTTTCACCATCATGTGTCTGCGGCCATATTAGATGGTAGAACTATAATCTCTTTATCTCTTATCGAGTTATTTCGCATGTAAAACAATTGTATTGTTCCAGTCATCCAGCATGGCTGCCGTCACATGATTTTGCAAAACTACTATTTCAGCGCTCTTGATCTTTATGAACAAGAGAAACCAGAACCCGAAGCATAGGCGAAATATTTAGCAAATTACATACTTAGTACTTACATTGCTTCTAGACACAAGAGAAAAACATTTACGCATGTTTGAATTTATTTCGCTTCCCAATAATTCACGAGTGTTTTATTGAGAAAAGAAATATTCTTTTTCTCCGAAAATACAAAATATTTCTGTAAGTATGCTTTTCTGAGCACAAGATACCGTAAACAAAGAAATAAATATAAAGCCTTACTTTTCAAAAACTAAATTTGGCTTTTGGAATTCCGTAAATAACATTTGTTAGGCAAGTTTAAAAATCAAATATAGAACTTAACAAGCTAAATTTCGATTCAATCTGTAAGTTAGCCGTGCCCTGACTCAGATCTGCCTAGAGGCTGTTTTAGGGTTTGATCTATGAGTTAGCTGTGACCTGACTGACCAGGGCAGAGGTTGTTCCAGGGTATCGATCTGTGAGTTAGCCGTGCCCTGACTATGATAAGGCCAGAGGTTGTTCCAGGGTATCGATCTGCAAGTTAGTCATGTTCTAGCTTAGACTAGCCCAAAGGTTCGATAACGTTTGGAGGTTTTTCGAAAAAACTGTATTTGACGTTTTGGACTAATTTGAATACAGAGATAGAGCGTGCGCAGAGGGTTTTTACTTGTGTCTTTCTATCCCTAAGTTATAACTTTTCGAGTATTTTTGTATCTTTGTACAGTTTGCTTGTTAAGGTTTCTTGGTAATAATTGATAACATTACCGTTAATATATCCATTATTTTATTTACCAAATTATGATGCAATAAACCTAAACTTAAATATTGTCGAAGTGTGTCAACATGGCCAGATAATAAAGGATTAATAAACTAGAAAATGTATTAATATTTTAGTCGCTATGACAACGAAATACGCAGCACTAGAGCTAATGCCTGTTACACTTGGTCAATGAAAACTAAAGAAAGCGTCTCGCTTGCTTTTTTAGCGCGGTTTTCTTTAAAATCCTTAACACCTTCCTGACAATATTCACAGTATTGATTCTACGTGGGATAAGCTGTTGAATAATCCGAAAACAATTCATACTTTGATTGCGGCTTCTTGAAGTTATAATGGTTCTTGCATGCTATATTCTAACGACTGTGACGTATGAGGAGTAACATTTAATACACAAAACATTAGGAGTAAAAATAAATTAGATTTTGAATGCGTCATCGTTTTACCCATTGCTCTTAAAGAAATCATTGCAAGTTAGTTTTCACATAGTAGTAACATTAGGAGTAACATTAGTAGTAACATTAGGAGTAAAAATAAATTAGATTTTGAATGCGTCATCGTTTTACCCATTGCTCTTAAAGAAATCATTGCAAGTTAGTTTTCACATAGTAGGCGTTATTTCGAATTGCGAGGAACAACATATAAACAAGTGCTTCTTCAAAAGCCTCTATTTGTTTTTGTTAATTATCTCGTTTGTGTGGGTGTGTGTATTTTCTCTCTAAATATATCAATGGGGCTAATCTTAGAAAACTCTCAAAAATCACTACTTTCTTGGATACCAGAAAGCCAATAGCAAATCTGAAACATTGCAAAAGAAAAAGGAAATACAACCAATGCTGCTGTGTCTATAAATTCTATAAACCTTTCCGAAGAGAGCCAGTCCAACAACTCTTGTTTAGAAGTTTTTTTAGAAGGCTTTATGGGATGATGGTCATCACCTCTAGTGCTATGTACGACGTGTGCATGGTTTTTCGTTTCCAAGGTAGCGGAAGGACAAGCGCTTTTGACCCACCAATTTTTTCTTCGAAGTTTTTCTTGTATTTTTTCCTGGAGTTGCTCTTGCTCCTACATGAAAATAAGAACCGCCACCCGATTACATAATTAGAGCAGTTGGTAAGAGCGTCGGTCCGTTGTGCGGGAGGTCGTGGTTCGAGTTTCGTACGAGCCAACTTTCAGTGACTTCTTAAAATCACTATGGAAATTCATTGACGTATATATATATACGAATATGTATTTATGTATTTATATATACATCAATTAATTTTTGCGCGATTGAATCTGTTTTATTCTGATTTACGCGGGAAAGAATTCATTTTCCTTGTTTTGTCCCTGTCATGACTGCCATCACGTGATAGTGCAAAGCCTCTGTTCTAAGTATTAGGCCGCTTATTTCCATTCCATCTTATGGGAAAATCCAACATATTTATGGAATATCTATCTTGATAGCAACCTTGGACATGTCCCTGACTACATATAAGAATAGCTACAAACCTTTTCTTTTTTCTTTCTCTTGAGCAACTTTTTATATCTCCTGTCTAGGACGAGTACTATACAGTATTCGGCCAGTGATAGAAACACGTAGAATAAGCAGGTCATTAAAAACTTGTCGATGGATTTGACGTAACTCACCTATAACATGCAAGACAGCACAGAACAAACAAACATTACTATAGGTGAATACTGAAACGACTGGGCAAAGTCAGGAAACGGCTTAGACCAAATTTCAGACCACGTGTCGTTCTGTTGAGTATAAACATTTTTGTTTCATTTGTATCTATTTAGCGAATTTAAAGTTTTAGTGTATTTAAAGTTTGTTATATTTATTTTATGATATTTTATTTTGTCGACAGATCATTTTTTGATTAGTTTGGTTTTGTCATTTTTTAAACATGACCTCTGGATCGTAAGGTTGGGGGCCCCCTTCCAACGTTAAAAACTTAAAATGAATTATGTTATTATTTGGTTTTGTGGAGGGAGTGAGGAGACCTACCCTGCGAGCAAAGGTGGTTTTTTCCACTACGGAGGGCTCAGCGGCAGGCTGATCGGGGAAAAAAAATTTTTCTCCCTTGTCCTAAAGCCAAAACGGAGAACAGAAAAATACTTCTGCAAGCCGGGTAAGGAGAACAAGGAGTAAACTCTGCTCAAATATGATGCAAATTGTCAAGGAATCGAACCTGATCGCGAATGTAAATGTCTATCAAAAACGTTACCTTGGGCATTGCACTGTTCAGCATATCGATGACCGTGACCTCCGTCAATAATGACGTCACACCGACACCTACACGTGCAGCTGTCTGGTCACGCGGTAGGAAAAATGCCATCCAAGATATAACCACTATGACGGAGCTGGTTCCATAAATATGGGAAAGAAAGTAGCTGTAGTAACGGACGAAGGAAAAGTTGGCACGTAAAGCAGAGAAATTACCTGGCAAGAAAAGACAAAAATATCAATGCAGGGTTTTCTAAGCTAATTTCATGCGACTTCTGAGATAACAATGTTTTCATTACTACACATTTCGAAGGGGACAACCAAATTGGCAGCTTCTCGAAACTGAGCATCCCCCTTTGCAAAATCCTAGTGCTACGCCCCTGCTTAGGTAGGTGATGCTTTAGCAAACAACGACATTTTGTCTGGACAAAATAAGGTTTTATGGTGGACGTCAATCAAAGTATTTCCATTTCCAAAGTATTTTCTTTTTATTTGGAAATAAAAAGGTTTTAAAAGTACTTTGAATATTGTGAAAGCGCCTTGATTGACGCAACAGCAAATTGTACGATTTAGTGCATGTGATTCGGAAGCGCTGTAAAGTAGGTCAAATGCCAAGGTAGTATTTCCACAGACTGGCTTTTTCACTGGATTCAAATTGGAATTTAGAAGTTTATTTTCACGGAGGGAGCGAGAAGAACCTGGAGAAAAGCCCTCGAATCATCAACCAATTCCGGAAATCAAACCCGTATTGCCTAATTGAGTGGCGAGCGCTCTCACTGCTACGCCACCAGTGCGAGAGTAGAGTACACTAATTCTTTTTTTTTTTTTTTTTTTTTTTTTTTTTTATAGAGAGAGAGAGAAAATGGTATGCTTTGCGCTGCAGCACAGCTAACGTGAAGCCTATCTGTTACTGTTGTCCAAACAAACTTACCAACAACGTATTGATGAATTTCTGCCAACAGTCGAACATCCACTATCTGGTACTGAGGCATTAGTCTAACATGTTTGGGAACAAAGCTTATGCCGTTGGATGAGTTCGTCTCCCAGCGATAAATTATATGACCCATATGGTAACCATCTTCAATGAAAATCAGAAACGTTTAGGTTATAAAAATTGTGAGAAATAGTTTTCCTTTTAAATGCTGTGAAAGTCTTGGTTTGATGTTTGAGTGGGTGGTTGACCGGTTGGTTGGTTGGTTGTTTGCTGGATCGGTTGGTTGATCCATCGGTTGGTCTGTCAGTTGGTGGCCGATGGTTTGTTGGTTGACTGAAGAATTGATTAGTTAAATAATTGGTTGGTAGTATGCTAGGTTTTTGGGTTGGTGTGTTGGTTAATTTCTTACTTTTTAGTGATTTCTTGTTTTGATTTGTTTCTTTGTTATTATTGATGTTTTTTTATTCCATACAGTTAGCTGAGAATCGCAAGTCAGGGCATGCATAAATGATTGACTGTCCGTTGATGAATGCCCTTTAATAATACAATGTTGTTCATCTATTAATATATACTTACAACTTTCAAGGATGAGTGGACATGTTTGTTTGTCGATCGGGAAGAGCCGCAGATCCAAATTACAGGCAGCTTTAACTGTAACCCTGTTGAAAAAAGTCAAAATCGTTAACGTTTCTGACAGCAATATCGCATTTCTATTCATAATTACAGTTGCACATCCTGAACCAAAAGAAGCTCCTAATGCCAATTTTGACCCAGAAAGATGTGCGCGCTTACAATTTGTATTTAAAATGTCAATAGAATTGTAGTTTGCTACAGAATTCTTCTCTCCGATTTTTTTATGGCATCGATAAATTTAGGACCACACCTCCAGACGAATGTTGAAGTGCAGTATGATAGCGCAAGTTAGCGCTATGAGTTTATGGATACTCGATCTTCGATAGACGGAAGCACACCAAATTTACCAACAGTGTGACGCTTCTGGGAATGTCTCAGTGATGTTTCCTCAAACTAAGGGTAATTATCTTTCGAATTAACAGGAATCCTTGCCATAGTCATATCATTACAAGTGCGCTGTTCGTCATTACTAGTAAATAAATAATAGAGAGTTTAAGCGTCTTATTTACAGCAAACGTGAAGAGCCAGGTGACGTGAAATATTATTTAAAAGTAGTGAAAAGGTATCGCAAACAAATCCGGCAAGTAATAGAAAGGCAAAAGAAGGTTTGTCTTTGGTGAGAAGGTTCGCGAAATTTAAAGTGAAATGCAGGAAAACGATAAAAACGTGGTCAAATCTGCAGTTTGCGGGACCAAAGAACGCGATGTTTAATCTGTCCAATACTCAAAAGAGTACGTATTCAGCATGGAATGGAAAAACACTGCGCGCACGCATGAATGCGGCGCAGTGCGTTTTTCACTAGTCAATTCAAATGAGATTGTGATTACGATTGCGATTCCGACTGTGTGATCCAGGCTTACTACCTTGTGTTGTACTTGATCAGACCATTTGGAGCCAACATAACCATCACATTAAGATTCGTGACACGATGTACTCTGCTGGTTTTGGCGTTCACAAAGTATGTATCAGGGGTCCAGATGTTGTTGACGATTCCATGGCTGAGTTGGATGGTTTCATTGAGATGATGATTCAATCGTGGGTCAACCCATTCTTGACGAATAAATAAGTCTATTGTGTAGTCCTTAAGAGACATCAAAAAAAGAAAGCAAGAATGAATGAAAGAGAGAACAAACAAAGGGGTAAAAGCCGGTCAGTAAAATGAGGAACGGTAAGAAATAGTAAGCGTTAACGATAGGGTTTTGAGGACACCGGAGCCCAGATTGAGAAATGAAGAGGGCTGGACAATGGGCTAGCAAGCCATTCTCGTAAAAGCGATTTCGCTACAAAAACGATGAAGAGATTGATCAATAGCGCAGCGCAACCGTGACGTCATAAAAACGAAGACAAAGGCGAAATTCGGACAAACAAACTTACAAGTTTACTTTCAGCAGATAATTTTCACAGCCGATCGCAGTTGATCTTAGTTTACATGGGTTATTATTGTAACTTTAATTAAAAATAATAAAATCGGTTCGTATAATCCTCGTAGCGGTTAAACAGAATGCAATGTTTGTCCGAATGTTTAAGCTATTTTTAGGATCAGTGCGCTGCGCTATTAAACTATACGATTATTGGTGTCACGTAGGAGGCAGCTGAAGTTACAGCAATGGCAGGACAAGGGGGAGGGATCTGGGAATCGCAAGTAGCGATGAGAATGAGTAAGTAGCGGACGTAGACCATCATTTGCTCGCCGCTATTTTTCGAGTTGGAACCATGAATAGTTCTTACCATATTCATGACATCAATCGGATCAATTGATGTCGTCCAGAAACCAATCTTAATTTCAACGGCCTTTCCTAAAGATAGCACGAAAAAACGTTGGAATAAGTTAATGTCAATACATTCAGTTTCATTACAATTTGAGAAATAACCATAGGTTATAAACCAATAATATATTCATATATTAATTAAAAAATTAAACGAGGCTTACCTGTAAGGTGAAGTTTGATTGGGATTCTACCTCCTCATTCTTGCATAGAGAGATCACGTGAGATAGCGCATGCGTAGTGAAGTTCATCCTTTAAAGCGGGCCCATGTTATCCCAAGAAATGGGTGGGTATACA